CACCCCCCCCTCCCAAAGGAGCATAAGCCTTCAATATCTTTTTCTCCAATCTAAATATATTGTTTGTCTTGTATACGTCTTAAAATGAAAACCATATTGTGCTTTATTTCAGAGTCTTATGTCCAGTATGCCTTTGGTATGGTCAGTGACTACCTCCCTGTCGCAGTGGAAGAAGACCTGAGGACCTATTTGGGGTATGCTGTTTGTCTCCTGGCTTTTCTTCAAGGGGGCAGTATCACTGAAAAGGATCACTGTCTTTAAAAATTCATTTTAAAAATCATTGCTTAAGATAAAGAGAAGCCATTCGATGTGTAAATTTTTAGTTGCTGCCTGGGCGTTTGCACAGGGTCTCAATGAAAAGTTTTTTTGTAAACAGTTGGTACTGTGTGTAATAGGTAACAGTTCAGATCCTTCACTAAATTCTTTCGAGTTACACTAGTCCTTTAGTACGAAGAAGAAAGTGAAAAAAGGGCAGTAGCCACAAAAGGAAAATTCTGGACTTCTGTAACTGCTTTTCTTTACCCATACATTTGTTTTAGATGTGTAGTCAGTGTATGACTAATGCCCTTTTTGACTGAAATTGCTTTGGTGGACAAAACAAAACAAGTCGAGCAGTTATAGCTTGAGACAAACAAAATGGAATATTTTGTCTTCAGACCTTTTCCCACTGTGATCCCCATATTTTTGTTAAATTGTTTTTTTTTTTTTCAATCTAAAATCTAAATGGATTTACTGATTGGGAGTGACAATGACTAGCCTTTTCCACTTTCATTCTGCACCCTGTTTTTGTGCTTGTGAAAATGAGTTTGTTAAACAGTACTTCCCCAATTATGCGAAGTTGTGATGGGCGTCGATGATGTGAGGATTAAATTTGTGTCCACTTGAAATGAATGAAAATGATTCAACAACTAAAATTTATTACTTTCTCCTCCAACCTTCCACCCCAGAGTTCCTGCAGTTCAGGAGAAGCCTGCAGTTGTAGACACAGTGGAGAATGAACGTCCAAACAAGGTGGGTTTGCTGTTGTTTCGTGCAATGAGAAGAGGATTGGGATGTGTTGGGAAAGAATGTGTTACATTATCTGATGAATTTAGCACTTCCCTATTCTCAATTTGTGCAAGCAATGGCCACTTAGTTGTTATACCTGAGGCTTGATTCTTCCTTTTAAAAAGATTTTTCCTGTCATGTTGGGTTTTTCCTTGGTTTTAACTTTCTCATGATCTCAATATGCTGCTCTTGAAGTCAAACATAGATGGTTGGAGGGCGCCACTGGTAGGTCCTATTTCTTTTCTTTACTTCTTTTGATTCAGTTTGTTTGTCTTATTCTTTCCCTGTATTAAAGTACCGTTATTATGTCGATGTGCTGCTCTTTTCTCTAACAAACTGGAAGTCAAGCAAATTTTGCTGAAAAGAGCTGTATTATTTAAGGAGATGGTATTTGTCATCATAGCTGCTCTGCTATTTTGTTTATGGTCTTTTGTTGACAACTTGCATGGCAACCTGCTCTAAGGGAAGTTGCGCGGATTTTGCTGTCCAAAGTTTGAAGATGTTTTTTTCTTTCAGTGGCTTTTTTTTATAGTCAAAATGTTTTTATTTCCTTGTTTGAGAAAAGTCAAAAAAATTTAGAGATGAATTGAAGACATGTAGGCCTATGTGCTTGTAGTTTTAGTCATTTGAATAAAAAATTGAATCCAATATTAACATTTTGCCCTCAGTGAATATGACGGAAGTTATTGTTTATCATGTACAGGGGAACATAGTGAAGTCAACTTAAACCGAACATGAAATGCTTCTCTTTACATAAAGTAAAAACAATACATTTTTTGTTTGCCTTGTGTTTCACGTGTTGTTTTTGTCTTTGTGTTTCAGAAGTTGAAGTTGACTGGAGACCTGACCCCCACAGATGACTACAGCGCCGGGATAGACCTTAAGAAAGACAAGAGCAAGGTATTGTTATTTCTAGATTGATTTAGTGATCAACTGATTTGTGTGGTTTTGTCTTACGTTTATTTGGTTTTGTGAACCATTTATTTGGTTTGTCATCTTTTTATTGGTTCTTGCCAAGTATTTTTAGGGTTTTCAAACTGTTTATAGGGTTTTGTCCAATGTGTATGGGCTTTTGTTGGGTTTACCAACCACAGTGGAACCTGGATTCAACGAAGTTATCTTGCTGGACCTTCAATTTTGTTGAATCCGAGCGTTCATGTTATAGAAAACTTGAAGTTTTTGTGTAGATAATTACAGGCACTGAGCAAATAATATGTATAATGTATTCGACTTTCTTAATCAAAAGTTCAAATGAGAGGCATTTTCGTTTTTAATTAAATGCCATACCGAAGAAATTACAGGAAAATACAACTCTACCAAGAACACTCTGTGCAAAAGGGCCGATTCATTTGAATGCACACGTATGTCATCTATCATCTATACCATATTGTTTGCCGAACAAGTTATAATGTTGCTGTGTAGAGCCAAGCCTACGGCAACATTTGGCGCGCAATTCATTATGTAGATCTACAGTATAACAGATAGGTCGAACTCAAAAGACTCGAAATCACACATCCGTCGAACTGTGTAAGACAATGTCCCTTGAACTACCGAGGCCGGTCCCAACGAATTCGAGCTATTCATCTTATACTGTATGTCAAGACTAGCTTTTCATAATAATATTAATCAGTAGCTGAGGGTAAAAAATTGCTAAGTGAACAATTGTTCGTGATGCAGGAGCCATGGATGGTTTCCAGGAATAGATAAGGTTTGTTGCGGGAGGAAGATGGGCGAAGCCATGTCAGCGGGGGCTGATCATACTGCAAACAACTTCAGTGAATTGGAGCTTGCTCATTTATATGCGTTTGATGAATAGGAATTATTTTTATTGATTTTTATGGACAAAAAAACCCCTGCGGAATCCAACTCGGTTTTGTCAGCCATTTTGTCAACTATTTATACAGTTTTTATTGGGTGTTGTTTGCTTTCCATAGGTTTTGTTCACAATTTTTTGGCTTTCATGGTTTTGTATACTGTACATGCGCTTTTTGATAAGAATTTTAGTCTGTTTTCGTATATTATTTGCTTGTTTTTTCTTTGGAAGTCAGGTTTTTCTGTCTCTGAAGAAATTCTGGTCCTGTTTGACATAAGTTCTACATTTTTAAAATTAATATGTTTTCTGTTCCTTTTACTTACACAGACTGGCAAGCTGACAGCTGCCCAGAAGAAACTGAGCAAGGTGGACAAGACCGGGATGAAGAGCATTTCCAGTTTCTTTAAATCTCCAAAATCTTAGCTGCCTTATGCTCCGAGAGTACATCACAGTGGCCGCAGTCGTCAGGATTACTGTTCCAGTAGCATACCATTTTCTGAAACTAAAAATAAATTCACGATCATTGAACATGGAGTACAGACTTTGCCTCCTTCATTCAAATGAAATAAACACAAATAAGTCGAATCAAGGGAAATTCTGTCTCTTATATTGCTATTGTATTATTTTATATAATATATAGACCTGCATGTTTGCCGACAATCGTCTGAAATCCGACAATCGCGACCCGACCCGCGAGCCGGCCGATGCTATCGCTAGGCCCACCTGTATCAGTCAATGTGCGTAGTGCTAGGCCTGGCCGACTGCCAGCGCCCTCTTTTTCTCCCGTCGGCTTTGTCGGCACTTTCTTTTTCGTGCCTAGATCTCCTTCTATCACAGTATTGTAACCTCTCCATCCCCCCATCAGAGAAGTGAGAGGCATTGTAGGCCTTGATAATCTAAAGTAGGCTTATGCTGGCCTATCATGCGATGCCTTCTGCTCGTCTGCACATGCCACACCCTCCCCACTCATTCGCTCCGGCCTTCATCGTTGACACACTTGGGCTCTCCCATTCTTTGTTTCGCTAGATCACCAACAAGTTTCTCAACTGGCGAGGTTTTACATGTATAATTGGCCTATACGCTGTGCACAGCAGCAGGAATATTCCGCTCACGGCGTCCGAAATTCCATCTCAGCGATCTTTTAGTCAGTCCGGGCCCCCCGCGGTAGGCCATAAATTAGCGGCAGGTGACCTGCAATTTCACGCGTCAAGTCGGGGATTGACCGGGGTCAGCTCGTGCACAGCGCTGTCCTATCTTGTCCTTATCAGAACGCGTTTCTTCCCCTAATTTCATGAGCCGTAAAATGATGCTCACTCTACGCCTAGAATCTATTTCTTCACCAATTCCGCTTCGTCTACGTCTTCTTGATATCTTGTGAAAGTTTCAACAGTTTTCATTGATTCGTTTGGGAATAATAACAGTTTTAAATTGTGAGTGTTAAGTGATCGGAAGCGCCGTTAATAATGTTATCTCTTCAAATTTAATTACAAATCATTCGAGAATGGAACGATGGTCTTTATTTCTGTTTGCGCGGTGTGATAGTCATCAAATCATATTTTCTAATGATGTGAATTTTGTTTTTCCAGCACTTTGCAGTGACTGGCAATCAGTTAGTGAATTGTGTTCCTAAGTAAAAATCGTTAAACTGCAATGGGTCAGTCACACATATGAGAGGCATAGAGTCTCTGAATGAACTTTGTCGTATGTGTTGGCGTTTAAATTTAACTGTCAAACAAAAAAAGTACAGAAAGCCCCGACTATGTAAGACAATGGCAGGAGATATTCTCTTGGTTTATGGGATTGATGTGAGGGACGAAAATGAACAGTCGTATTCCGCTTACATTTGTGTCAAGTGTTTTACCGCAATTTCAAATATCAAACGGAGATATGGTGTTACGTCACGTCAATTCATGCCGCAAAAAAGCTGTTGACACTAGTAGGAACATGTGGTGTGCGTTTGTGAATTCCTTCTCCGTTTTGTCGGTACCGCTTAGGTGGCTGCACACAAAGATCCATTTCAAGCTAACATCGTAAAACACCCCAAGCATACCTCCCTCCATCCCCATGTATGCAAGGAACTAACAAACACAATTTGTACAGAAACAAGAAAATACTCCCGCGAAACTGCAAAAATTGAGGAAGCAAGTGGACTGGAAGCAATATTCAATCTTCTCAATGAAAGATTTAGCCATGTTCACACTGCAATATCACATCTCAAACAAATCAAACAATTTTCACTTCCACAAATCTTCTTAGCAATCGACAATTACATGTCCGCATTCAGGCGCTATTTACCCACAAAGTTATCCCAAAGCAACACATATCATAGCAACACTGTATTCCACACATACAACAACACATGTTTGCTCTCGGGCTTTTAGGAGAACAGGACACAGAAAGCAGCCACCAAGCGATCTCAAAACTGGAAACCAGAGCACGAAGGATCTCAAACCAGATAGACATAATGCGTTTTATTTTTTGTGTCGCATCTCCTGCAAATAGCTCCCTCATTGCGTGCTGCTGGATATGTTTAGAAAGAAAAATTGTATAAATTTATAGTTTTATTCTGTACATGTTCATTTTGTGAAAAGAAATCGGTGCTGTATATTGAAGATACGTCAGTATATCATTATTCAGGAGGATACACATTCCATTGGATACAAAAAGTCATGAATGCAGGGAAGCGTTTTGGCTATCATGCTCATGACAAGTTCTATGTTCGTGCTGGAAACAAAATTTTGAGTGAGTCAATTTCTAAACACATTTTCCTGTCTTACGTGGCAGTTTTGTAAATATTTATCGTTAGGCTTATATAAGTTATTAGCCATTCAATGTGTTTGTTGTTTTGACTAACTATAAATAGACATACATTTTAAGAGCATCTAACTCAAAAACGTGAGCAGCCATGGTATTGCTATTTCGTACCAATAAAGAGGTTTAGTTGCTTTCTCTAAAGAACAAACTTGTGTTCACGTATGATATTTTTTGTTTGTGTAAGACGATAAAACATGTCTTGAAAAATTCATTTCACCGGCTACCGACGCAGGTAGCGGGAGGGCGGGTTAGTGACTTCTGTGTGACCGGCCCGCCATGACCCGGTCACTCCATCGCCGATCCAACTAAAAGAGCGCTGTTTGTACGCCGTGCGCTATAACCGACTCGCATGTTTGTCTGACTGCGCTATAGCAGTATTTTATTTACAAAGATAAAGAAGAGAAATAAACAGGGTTTTAGAATAGTGTCTTTATAACCGACGTATCATTTTTTCCGGACTCGTTATAAGTGGACTCCACTGTATAGTAAAAGTAAAGCTGTTCCCGCATCCGATCTGGACATTGGGGATTGCCTTGTTATTGTTAGTGAGACAACTTCCTGGGCCTTCGGCATTTTGTGGTAGGATGGCCAGATCCTTTCCACGCGCCTTTATTTCCCCTACTCGAAATCAGGTACCCATTACTGCTGGGTGGGCAGGAAGGGGCGAAAAAGATCCATGTCCGAACCCAGGCTCGAACCCGGACTTTCCGCTTCGGAGACACGTGCACTAGCCGCTCGGCCACCGCACCCTCGATGTACTCAGTAGAAGTAGAATACAGTGGAAACCATATATAACAGGCCCGGTAATAACAGGGATCCGGTAATAACAGGGATTTTTCCGACTCTTTGTCTCTATTAAAAGTTATCGGCAATAACAGGACCCCATCGGAGCCCAACCGGTTAAAGCAGGGACAAATGCTCGTTAACAATGTGTAAAAAGTAAGAGAGAGAGTGAGATAGAGTAACGCAGTGATGGAGCTAGCCCATGCAAGCCATGCCACTGCAAGCACACGCAGCGTGTGAAATGAGAGAGGGCGGCGGTGTGCTGCTGACCTCGATCTAGCCCGAAACCTAGCAACATGCATGCGTAATGTGTCTACTGTCACCAACGATGTCAAGCGCAAGAGAAAATGTCTTTCAATAGACAAAAAAACAACAAAAAACGAAATAATCCAGGCTGTTGATAAAAAGTAAGCTCCACTGGAAGAGATTTGTCGTCAGTTTGACATTCCACAAGGGTCGATTCACACCATTACCAAGGATAGAGAGAAGATAGTGGCAGCATACTTCAATGGAAAGTTTGCTCTGGATCGAAAGAAGATGAGACTACTCGATGCAGATGCTGTGGACCAAGCTCTTCTGATGTGGTTTAAGGAGGCAAGGAGAAAGTTGGTGCCAAAACCCCCGTTCGTGGGTACTTGTGGCAAGGGGAACCACCCATGAATAAATACAACTGGATTAGTCCACAAAAGCTTGCTTTCCTTGCATTTCTGATTTAACAGGGATCAGATATAACAGGACATTTTCTCTACTCTCACCATCCCTGTTATATCAGGTTTCCACTGTAGTTCATTAAAATGATTCCTCATTTTTTTGGGGGGGAGTGACCCTAAAGTGATGAAAGGCGAACCAACTGTAGTGTGTGCAACGCACATCCTGTAGATTAAAAACACAAAAATTAAAAGGTGGGGAACGTAAACCCGGTGTTTGCACGTTCACCCCCCCCCCCCACACACACACAGTAAAAAAAAAAAAATTGTTTCATGGTATATTTCATTGACCTTTCACAGTACATAATCAAGAAACCCTCTGCAAATTCTATTTCCATTAGATAATATAACACAAACCTTCCGTTTGTCAATGAAAGACATTACTTTTGTGATCACCTCTAATCTTCAACACTTAAGGGAGGAGCGACCCTTGATTTTGCAGATTTTGGGTCAGGCTATGTAAATTTTATGTTGGCTGATTTTTTAAGATCAAATAGTTTTTTTGTCTAAAAATAGCATGGATACAATTGAGAAAGTCTTTAAAATTATTCTCCTCGTAAATTATCTTTGAAAACATGAGGATGGGTTAATATATACTATAGTGAATTTTCAGAATAATTGTCGCTTTCGCAAAATGTAATTATTTTGCATTTTGTTTTTTTCCCTACTCCTTCCTTAGTTTTCGTCCTTTTGACATGACACTTTAGGGAAACATAGATTAGATGGCAAAGCTTCCATCAATGTAACAGAGATATTTGCGAAAACAATAATACTTCCATTGGCAAGCGAATACGCAATCTAAATTTAGAAAAAAATTTATACTTTGGGAAAATTCTCATTTTTTTTTCTTTTGCACTTATTTAAAAAAAACTTGCTGTTACCCTGATAGGGTCTGGTTCAGGTATACTCTCACCAAACTTGGTCAAATGTGGTCGGTCAGTAAATAAGAAAGCCTTAGGGATTTGAAATTCATTGTTTATTTTCAAGATGGCGGCTGTTTCCATAGCAACCGCTGTAGCTATTCCAAAATAAAATTGCGTATCAAGAGATTTTACTATACCTAACTTATATGTGTACTTAGATTTGATCTTGGACAACAAACATAGAAAATGGTCCTCAAGGGCAGCTCCTCCTCCCGTTAAATGACCTTATTGTGTTGCACATGCCGTAAAACTCTTATATTAAATAGTCTTTCCTGACCTTAGTTCAGAGAGATAAGAAACAATTTCTGAGTTACTCACCACCTATACCTGAACCAGGCAGATTGGCATTGGTTTTAGAGGCAAATACGCTACCTGTATTAAAGCCAACAAGCCCTATTGGTGATTCACTTTTGCAATTTCCATAGATTATAGATGAATGGAATGTATGTTCAAATTATATCTCAGCAGATCAGAAAAATGGTTAGTTGGAGTGTGTTTACTGACTGATAGATTCTACTTAGACTTTCTTTCCCTCTAATGTTTCCATCTTGCTCTTTCCATGTTAAGGTATAAGAAATTATTAAAAGAGCTATTGTGTGTTTGTTCTTCTCTTTACTCAAACTGAGCACTGAGAGGCCATTCCCAAAGGAGGGACATTTCTTGTTCAAGCACAGTAGAATTGTATAAGGGCTGATTCATGTCACGCTCATAACTGTGCCTGATCTACAACAGGGAACTGCTGCTTTGTCATCTTCCTCTACTTCTTTTGTATGTTTGTCACCACTCTCTTGTGACCCGCTATTTCCGGGGTGCCTTGATAGTCGAAGTAGACCTTGTGTTGTTGAAGCTGGAGAGGTGAGCAGAACAAGTCTGATTCCCTGTAAAGACTTCTCTGTTGATACCCACCCCTTGGCGTTCATATGACCTTATGCAGAGTTGCGAGCGCTGTACTATAAAAAAAAAAAAAAAGAGACAGTCTGAACCCCCCCCCCCTAACAAAACCCAGCTGTGTGTGTATTATTACTATAATACGTGCCTGTAAAAACAACCCAAATATCAGCGGACTAAGTTACGTTGTGGAGCTCTGTACACTACACCAGTGTGAAAAAGTCACTAGAATCAAAGATAGTACATAACAAGATGGTCCACTCAGCCAAAAAAGTGTCTGCCGGAAGTCCGCTCTTTGCTTCAGATGGTGCTACAGTCTGTTTTGAAGCTCTCTTTCGTTTTTCCAGAAGAAGAATAGGAATAGCACCTTCTTGCGTTCGCAGATGGACTGCTGTTCATCAACAGTTCGGGTTCGTTCAGTGCGTACAGTTCGGGTTCGTTCAGTGCGTAATTTTAGTTTAAAAATTTTTTAATGACCTCTCGCCTTTCATTCTAAAGTCAAATTAAACGAAAAAAACAATCACCCTTTCCTCCGGAAGAGGTTTTTTGTCAGCGTAACCATTTTAAAAAAGCGTTCTTCTGAAATTTATTTAAAAACCTGCTAGTTTCATTTTGATTTTTTAAACACAAGAAGGGTAGATTCTAACTCTGTTCGCAAAGGGTGTGCATTTGCGAAGAGGGCGCCACCGAATTTTGAGGACACTTTTTTAACTGGCTCAAAGAGAGGAGTGGCCCCTCTTGTTATGTAGACTCTTTGCTAGAATACAACATGTACTAAACTTAAGTTCTTGCAATAAATAAAGGTGTGGTCTTTTACAGTCCGTATGTGGGAAGTATGAAATACAATTTTGACTTTTATCTGAAGCATCATGGTGAAAACAGGCACTTGTCAAAATTACAAATTTAAAGATGATTGCATTTTTCTACCTCTGTTTAACAATTTTTATCAAATATTTTTTTTAGCTCAACACTGTTTATGACCATTCATTTGCAGTTTCCAAGGACTCTAGCTTTAGGAATCGCCAAACTGGCAACCATTTTACCTCTGAAACCAGGCTATCTCCACTTCCTTCAATTGCAAACCTCTCAACTTCTATTCAAGGAAGATGGGTACTTTAAAAAAAAATTATTGAAAGCAAGACAAATGAACAAGTTTTAAGATGATACCAAGAACTCCATATGACCAAAAATTGACGAGCACCCGATTCCACCTCATCTGGACACATATATCATAAATATTTTAAAATAACTTGTTTTAAAGTGTATACATTATTTGATTACAATGCTATGAAGTTTTCAAAGCAAAGTTAAAAATAAATTTTTGTAGACTGCGTACAGTAGTCTCCGCCTAAACGCACGCCATACAAAAGCAAGCTCCGCTCAAAAGCACGCTTTCGTCATCAGACAGGTTTTTTACGATATAATTTAGACGTACAAACGCACGGTCACTCCCTCTAAACGCACGCTCCGATCTGCGAAACACGCCGACAAGTTAAGCTTGGCAAGGGGAAATTTTCACAACAACCTGCACAGCCTGCAATAGACAAGCCTAGAATTTACTAGAAAACCGGATATTTGGTGAGAGTGCCCCTCACGCCGTACAAAGAGAAATGATGGACAGAGTTTACGCACCCTACTTTTCACTGATGCTTAAGTCTCGGTCTCGGGCTGGTCGGTTAAATGTTGGGTGGGGGGACTGAAATGATTTTTGATTGGTCACTGGAAATGTAACTTTGAGAGAAGGTTTCTAACGGGTGTTTGAGTTTGAGTGATTGCGTGTAATATTTAGTTAGATCTAGGCCTGATCCGCGAAATGCGTAAATGCGTAAAACATAGAAAGGCTTCTATAAGATTAAAGATTAGCCAAGTAAGCCTAATAAGCTGCGCTCGAAGAACTTATAACATACTTGTTCAACGAATCTCAAGACAAAATGTTTCTCGAGGATGATTCTGCATGAATTTACGGTCGGGGGTGGTCGCTTGGAAAGCCACGTGGCCGGTCCGTCGTCTCTATGACTATCACCAACAGTTTCCTCTTAGGCTATCTGTTCCCGACGTTTATAATGCATATTCATTACTTTGAGTTTGTTCCCCCACTCCCCCACTCATCAACGCCTTTGTATTCTTAACCCCTGTCGGGGAATCCTTCACAAAACAGTCACGTGTCGTCACATTATCGACCAAAATGACCCCCCACTCCAAGGGAGGTCATTAGAGTAATAAGGAATTAAGATGACTGCGTCCCTTCCTCCCCTTGCAAAGGTTCATGTAAACGCACGCTCCGTATAAACACACGCTCAGGAGCCCTCCCGAAGACTACTGTATTTCTTTACCAACTCTGGCAAAATTTGTCATTGCTTCTCCAGATATTTGAAAAATTTAAAGGACAACATAACTAAAATTGCTTATCCTGTCAAAGACCTTATGTCTTCTCAATTTTCATTCTTGATGACATTTGGTTATCACAGGCAAATATACAATATACATACATACATTACATTCTAATACACCACAGCAAAATTATTTTCAGCACCTCGATTGTTTTTTTATAATGCATGTACATTCTATGTATCTAAAAAAGTAAAATACACACATAACAAATTCGGATATAATGAAAAGATTTCAATGATTTGCCGATTTCATGGTGTGCAGACTAGACTATATGCTGAAAAGAAGAAAGAAAACTTCTAAATCTATCTATAAAAATGAATAAAGTCATTTGTTGAAAGTTTTAAAAAATGGTTTATTATTCATTGTCACAAATAAAAATAATCACAGATGGGAGGATGGAATGTTTAAATATATACATTGCCTTGTTCAACAGCTGCTCAGCATAAGTGAATAAAGAAAATTGTTTTGTAAAAGACGACAAAAAACTCCCACACAATGTCTGAATAAGTAACATGTTTAGTTCAAGAACATTGAATACTGTTTACTTTATACTTGCTATGCTTTAGAAAGAAGAAAAAATGACCCCTAAACATACATTAGCATGCAATGGGTACTCTCAATTATCAAACAGTTCACACTAGTAATGACTGTAAAACGTCAATAACAACCACTACCAGAAAGCTAGCGTAAATTTAAAAAAAAGCTTTCATATTATGGTTGGAAAGGGAACATTTGGCACATTTCTGAAAATCATAAATAAGGACTAAACATTTTGTTTTCTGTGACTTTTCTTACACCCAGCTCATGATTCAAACAGTTCCTCTAAGTAAACTTTACACGATGATGCGGCTTTTTCTTCTCTTTCATCACCCAACATAAAAATGTACAGTCTGATATGTGCCATTTAAATATAGTCTGCTCTTGTGATTTTCAAAATCAAAACTGAGCCACTTTCACACGATTTGTTATGACACGTTCAGATATATAGCCTGTACATTACACGTATAAAATGATTTTTCAGCTTATCTTTTCAATTCTCCCTCCTGAAAAATGTTGACATTTCAAAAGACCATGTTTAACATTCACACATTTATCCAGTGGGGTAAATTACATTATTAAACCAACTCATGATTAGACCTGTCAGTCTGTCTTGTGGAGAGACACAATTAACCCTGCATTAACTTTGTCTTTTAAAACTGAGTCAGTTTTCCCTCTCTGCTTTGTACACATTTGTGCAGGGAAAATACAGCATCTCCTGTGATATGGCCTCTACCTGTGGTGACTTACAGGCCCCACATTTGTTGACAGACACTACAGATGTATGATATTTTTCTGCGATGTCATGATATGGGGATCGTTAACGTCGGGATGAGGCCTGGCTGCGAGCGCTGGAGACTGAGCTTCGAGGTGATCCTCCCACTGAAAAACGAAAAATGTATATCTTTATGGTTGGTTAGCTGTTCAAAATTTTGGATTTTTTCTTATTGCAGTTTCTTAACTCAGTGGAGACTGGGGCTTTTTCGGGTCTACATGCACTGGAGACTGGCATTTTTGGGGGGTATTTCAATATTTCAAACAACACCCTTCCCAAAGACATACAACCACCATTTTTACACACATAACAGATCTAAACATGCCCAATAGGACACAAAAAACCCCAGAAAGGCAATATCTTTTATAGTTTCTAGAAATGATTTTTTGAAAATGTGCTAAAATTTGTTGTTTGCCAAAAATGTTTTTTTTTACGTAATGTCTTGTGTAAAAAAAACCCAAACAAAACACACGAAAATCAACTTTATGTGTGTCTTTTGTTGTATTTTGAGTTTCAAAATAAATAAAAAGTCCAAACTCATGAATAGGCAGGTAATCGACATCGTAATCCTTATAAATGTATCAGCTGTCTAATCCACTTCAGTGTGAAAAAAAAGACAACTCCAGACAAAGCGGAATTTAGAAAGTCTAGATCTAGAACATTCTCTATCAGAATCAGTGCTTTGATGCTCATTTACATTGAAATCAGGATCCCCATGGTCTAAAATATCAAATCAAAATTTTCTGAATAGTCAAAGTCGTCAAACACTTGAAAAATGTTTGCTTTTCGTGCTGCCAAATTGGTGGTTGGCGGGTGCTCTGGAGTGGTTTGCTCCTTCTTTCCTATCAAACATCTCTCGTCCTGATTTCTCCTCCTTCTTTTTTGTGTTTGTTACTCTCTTGTAACACCTAATCTTCGGTACTTACATGACCTTACTGAGTTGCAAGTGGTGTAAAACTCTTACTAAACCTAAATGTGCTGCTATCGTACCATGCTGACAAAGTGTTGCGAGAACAGACACCAGTCGGAGAAACGAAAGTAGGGCCTCAGTGTGACTAACTTTCCTTCCAGCTCGATAACTCAAAATGTTTCCTGCCAATTCCGGTGAAACTTTGCACGAAACTAAACACAGGTCGGCTGCATGGTAAGAAGAGAGAGTACACTACACGAAGCGTTTGTGAGCATACTTTATGGAGGAAAAAATGCAAAACGTGTACTCGCAGGAGATGTGTGGACTGCCTCTCTGGAAAATACTGGTGCTCACAAATGCTGCGTGAAACGTCTCTAGTGAGTTAATCTATGATACTGACAGCACATGCTCAACAAATATGTTGGCAAAACTCAAATTCTTAATGTTGAAATAAGCAAAAAAAGATACCCAAAGTACAGGAATAAATTTTTTTTTTCTCCCCTGAAACAATGTTGCTTTCTCAGCTTAGAACATTTTAACAGCTTGTAGACGACAGTAAATCCCTGATATCATGAACTCCACAGGACCAGAAAATGTTTTCCTATACAGCAGATTTTGTGTTGAGGTAAGTAGTAAGTAGCAATGCAAAGAACAATACAGAAAAAAGTTAAAAAACAAATGCCCACAGATTTGAATTTTAAATCATTTCATAATCACATGAATTTCATATTGAAAAGATTCTACATTATCTTCTTTGAATGAGAGAAAAGAAAAAATGGGTGGTCTGAAGATGTCATTGTTGAGTCCTATTTCTTTTCTGTCACTGTTGTTTCTTTCTGTTTCACTGTGTTCATGCACTTATCGACTATTACCGTATCTTTGTGCGTCAGGCGTATAATGGTTGGGTTTTTTCTATTGTATGCATAAGACTAAGTGAAAGAGGCCCTTTCCCCATAAGTCATCCAAGTATGTCAATGGGGACATATAAAGAAGCAAAGAAAGGGGACTTAAACCCATACTCTTACTTACTTTTGACTAAACAACCACTCAAATCCAAATTTGCAGCTATTTGATCCTCAAGGCGGTATTCAGATTAATTGCTCCACACCCTACCACCTCCTCCCTTTCGTCTCCCCCCTGTCCTTTTTTATCCCCGAATCACACATTCCAATTTTCCAATTTACCGTCAAAGCCGACATTGACAGGCGTGGCGGAGCCGCCACTCTTGATGCTGGAGGCGGGGCTTCCCCGGGCACTGGAGCGTGTGCTGCCTCGTGCACTGCCTGGGACGCTGCTTGCAGATGGTGCCGGTAGGTTGCTCTGTGGGTCGGAGGAGAAAGAGATACCCACATGTTATACATATGAAATCAGGCTCTTGTCAAAATAATGAAATCCGAGAAATGGGCATTTTCCCACTAGTATGGAAATTTTAATCGAATTTTTACTTTTATACCCACATGAAAACACATTTCCATGTGAATCTTACTGAAAAACATTGATAAAAGGCACAAAATAGATCATTTTAAAGTTTTCCAAGACTCTTTAGCTATTGGAGTTACCAAACTTTGGCGGCCATTTTTTCGCTAATTTCACAACAGAAACCAGGCCTTCACTTCCTTCAAATGCAGACATCTTGAGTTCTATTCAAGATAAATATATATTTATTTCACTGAGCTGTCAACATGTTATACTGTAAGTGTCAGAGAGAAGAGGTGTTACAAGGGAGTAACAAACACAAAAAAAACCAAGGAGGAGTGATGCACAAGTACCAAGTGAAAAATGATATAGCTAATGAGGAATGATATAGATTACTTCCTAGGGATAAGGAGCAACACAGCTAAGGGGGGGGAACGATGTAATTAACAGGAGATGACGTAGCTATTGAGGGACAATGTAGCTATTGAGGGACAATGTAGCTATTGAGGGACAATGTAGCTATTGAGGGACAATGTACTATTGAGGAACAATGTAGCTAACACTAACAGGTGATGAAATAACCAATGACGGATGGTGTAACTAACAGGGGACGACATAACAAATGAGAAACAACATAGCTAAAAAGGAACAATCTAACATATATTAAGAACAACAGAGCTAACAGGGGTTGATGTAGCCAACAAAGTACGATGTAGCAAATGGTTTATGATGTAAAAGTAGCTAATGAGGGACGACAGAGCTAACGGGACGATGTAGCCAATGAGGGACCAGATGAGGAAGTAGACAAACCTGTGCAAAATACATGGAAACGGCCTCCATCATGTCTGGGTAGTGCATGGTGGCCTCCCCAATCATCTTCATGGCTGTCTTGTTGAATTCTCTAAGCTCCCTCACTTGGAAGTCACGCTGGTGGGGTAAAAAACCCACAGAATTTTATGATGATAGACAGAGTTTTCTTAACTTTGAGAGAGTATTATCCAAATTTAGGCATTTTCAAATATTTCATCGTTTTCAACAAAATTTACATAAAAATAAGCATATTAATAGAATCATGTATCATAATTGGAAATAGCCATCCACTGCGGCAAAATAATCTTTGTACTTTCTGACTGAATGCCATATATTATATATGGATGAAGAGCCATGAAAACTCCCTGTACAATAGTACAAGAATGCCCTGTTAGGGATTTGAATCGGACTTATCAACATTGTAGTTCACAGCACGATATCAACTGAGCTATTGGCAAGCCCAAACTGGATGTTGTTCAAGCAAAAACAAAGTAAACATTAAAATTGGAAGGTCAGTGTTAACTGATTCCGTCCATGATTTTTTCAGGCTCTGGACAGAATGATTTTTCCTTGTTCAGATTTAGACCTGGGGTTCATCTATTTAATGCATTACTGTGAAGCTCTAAGTTACTCTAATAGGTATTGTCATATACCAAAGTGATGGGAATCAATAGAGGAATCTGTTTATATCAATAACAATGACCTATAATCTGTTTGTTTTGTAAATTCCATCAGACAAAAACAAATTAGGATAAGAAATTGCGCAACACCTCTTCGAAAATTTCGACTTTCCACATTTTCTCAGCTCTACAAGTCCTTATAATCCATAGGAATCAGCACAAAATTGTAGCCATATCACCCTAGCACACATTCATGCAAGAATTTCACAAATTTAGTTGAATATCTTTCTTTGAAGGGCTTTTTTCTTATACCAGGCTCCGTGTTATTTACTCTTAGATCTAGCCTACATAGCGACAACAAAACAAAGATTTTTGCAAGAATTTCGCGGAATTTCGATCGATATTCGCACTCAGAGATTGAGGTCAGGTTTGTTTACAAGTTCTACTTCCTTTCGACAACTTAAAAAGTAGGAACTATTTTAAAAAGTGCACATTTGTTTCGGACTTCGTTGAGCCGCTCACAGCGGTCGAATGGATGCAGTGGAAAAACTAAGAGCCACTGTCAGCGGCCGAATGGACGGAATTAGTTAAGATGGAATATTCTTTTCTGCTTCTAAGTTTTTCTGTTTAAGGCAACTCCAAGAAACCAACAAACAATGTTTGTCTTCTTGACTTTCATTGCAAGCAAACATGACAATCTTTCAAACACTAACAAACAAACAAACAAGCAGCTCTCTCCATTAGGGGAAGCAGTTGAACAATTCTAAAACAACACATGAGCCTACCTCTTCAGGCAATTCTTCCTTCACTTTGCGAGCAGACCTCAACTCACGCGAGTAGCGTACATTCTAAGAAGAAAGAGCATTGATAATGATAAATACACAATCTAAGACTTGCATCTTTCTTTTACATAATTTTTAAAAAAACTTAAAAGAAAACCCACAAAAGTGAACTATTTCAAAATACATTACATCAACAGCAGCAGATATCTTGTTAGAGCAGTTCAATATTAATGAACCCAAGAAAAGAAGAAAACAAAGAAATCTTCTGGAAAAATGAAAAAAAAAATCCCAAAACAACTTGCACTTACACATTCTCACAGAACTCCAGAGTTTTTAGTGAGCCACATAATAGGAACCAAATTTACAAACAGTATAATTTATATTTATGAAAATCATTACACTGTCCAAATAAGAAGAACATTTTGTACAAAAAAAAAGGACTCGCCTGTTTTGCAACTCTCTCTAGCTTTGTCCTCTGATCTTCAATCTCTTTGTTCAGTTGAAGAATTTTGTTCTGAAAATAGGGTAAAAAACACTAAAAACATAGAAAAGAGTACTTTCACAGTTTTTAGCTTTGGTAACATGAACACATTCCTTATTTTCTACAGCATGTGGCAACATCTTGTAAGAGATGGACATGTTAAATTTAATTTATGGACATTATCACAGAGTGCACTAGCGTACCATGATGGTCAAACGAGCGTCCTTTAGCATGTTAATCCCACTTTAAAAATAGTGCAACATGATTGCTAGCAGTTGTTTGTGCTTAAGTGTCGATCATATGATTCTAGATGGTTAACTTTTCTACTTGAGATACCACAAGACATCCTAAAAATGGTGACATTTGCATTACACCATGTTTCCTTCTGCTCTCAGGGAGGGGGCTCCAAGGGTGATTAGTAAGGGTAACAACAACATCTCCATAACACTCACCTTTTTCTCATCAATCATACCCACATAGGCGTCTTCATCTCTGGTGAGGTTGTCTAGAGTTGAGCTCATTGTCTGAGGGGTAGAAAATAGTATTCAGAAATCAAGATCATCTGTTGGATTGGACTAAAGAACAAAAAACACACTGATGTAGTATTGGTTACAGAAAGACAGATAGTTATCCACACAATAAAAGGCAGCGGGAAGTGATCTTTAGTTTAGCCTGAGTGAAGTGACGCCTGTCAGAAAAATAACAGCCATTTAGAGCGATAAAAAAGCAGGATGGATAGACAGAAACGACAATGGGAGAGTGGAAGAGTAAAGAAGAAGTAACTATGCACTACAGTAGTCTTTGCCTAAGATACCGGAGCTTGGGAGCAAGGCAAATGCAGGATCTTAGGCGAACGGGATCTTTGCCAATCCACCATGAGCAGCCGGTGAAATAGTCCCCTATCCCCTTACTATCAAATGAAGTGATGTGAACCTTAGGTGGGTTTATGACTTATGGTGAGCAAAGAGTGGTCAACCTTCATGACCTATCACAATGACATAGGGCATGAACTGTTCACTTAACCACTTAGCTAGTCTTGAGTCTCAAGATCTACGCTGATCGTATTGCTCCTCCCCTTTACTTGTTCAAAATCTATAGCTTTCCATTTGTGAAGCCGTCTCTGTCATAATGCACTATAGTGTTATGACTGCACCAATTAAAATTCAGTCTGTTTAGCAAATTCAGGTGTAGAAACACTGCTGTAATGGTCAGGAAAACAAAAGCATCCAAAGAGTTCATAGTTCGATGTGATCTCAAATGATGCAGACTCATAGCCCCTGCCTTCCCAGCTTGAGATGTAAGCTTAGGTGGAGAACTCAAGTGCAAGTGGGATGTTTGGGGAAAACAAACGCATCAACGAGTTCACACCTAAATGTGATGTTGTCCAAGACAAACACGGTACCCACTCATCGAGATTTATAATGGAGATGTGATCATATTCTCTTGATTAGATGACCTGTAGTCAATGTCTACTGTATAAACAGTAGGCATTGTCTGTAGTGCAATGGGCAGTGCAACGATCACAAATTTTTGTTGCTTGGTTGATCAGTTACCTTCGTCTGGGTTTTTGTTCTATAAATTACCATCTGTTTTCTTAAAACAGCGGGATCATAAGTAAACCAGAATCGTAAGTGGGGTGATCTTAGGCACAGACTACTGTACTTGCAAGAAAAAAAGTGACTCACATCTTACAAAAAAACAGTAAAGCAAGGAACCCCCCCCCCCCCCCCCCCCACATAGACCCTATTTTGCGAAAATATTGCATTATAGTGTGTTTTCAAAAACAAAACCATTTTATATCTTTTATATCTATATTCATTTTTCTTTAAAGCACACATAAGTTTTTTTTGGAACATAACATTATGACAAGGCCCATCTACTACTTGGAGAAAATAATGTTCTTTCACTAGATTCACATATATGGCATTAGTCAACATGAACACACAGACACACTCAAACACTTGCACGCTCAGCCTGAGTAGGTCTAAACAGGCAGGGTCAAAGCAGCCTTCCTCCTGAAAGATCTATATTGTGTTGGCGGGGGCCTATAACATTACATTGAACAATGAAGAGTGAGCTTTATTGAGTGCAGACAACAGCAACAAAAAAGCTGTATCAAGGATCATCCTTTAAAAAAAAGGATAAAAAAAAAATTGCAGGTGTCTTTACACCACCATCAACACAGTTAAGGTCATTTAGGAGGTGGGCTTCTGGCCGCGATGGATACAACATCTCATAAAAAAGACATTTGAGATACTTGATAAAAATTTCTCCCCCCACCTCGGTAATTGAACTCAGGTCTCTTGTGTGCAACAGCAAACTGCCTAACTGATACTCCGGTAGCATCATCCTTAACAACAAGTACACTTTATCAGCAGTGTTGCCATCAAGGAGAATGTAAACTAAACAGTCATTGCCAATGACACAAAAAAGTTAAGCCGAGCGTTGTGTACGTACATGGAGATCATCCTGTAACTCCCGTATCTGTCTCCTCTTGTACTTGTATTTGTCCATCACTGCACGCATCTGTTCATCCAGCTGTCTCTTCTCATCCATCTCATCACCTGGGCGGCGGGAAGGAAGTCAGAGCATGTGATAAAATTGTTTCTTTACTTTTGTCTTTCTGTCATTTTGTTTGTTTTGATTATAAAATTTTACTCTAAAAAACAAATACATCATAGGTGAGCACATGGATAATGAACACTAAAATGAAAGATCGAGAATTGTAAAACTTTCTCAATTCTGAGGAAAAAACCCAACTAGATTCCAGAGAAAGAAAGACCTCCCTTTTTCCAATTGAAAACATTGTGATTTTCAAATAATGGCCAGTCTTGCGCGGTGTTGTGGTGGCCCCAGTACAGCCTTAACTAGATATCTACGTGACAGCAAACCAGTACATTTTTTTAGGGTGCTCTGGCGTGGTTTGCTCCTTCTTCCCTATAAAAATCTCTTGTTCTTATCTCTCCTCCTTCTCATTTGTGTCTGTTACTCTCTTATAATACCTCTAATGTTCAGCACTTATATGACCTAATTGTGTAGCAAGTGCCGTAAAACTCTTACTAAGGCAAAACCCGCCTAACTTTCTGTGTCTAATCCTCATTCTTCAAACATTTGTCAAAAGTACACACATTCTCTCATCCCCTGGTGAGCATGTGTACATCAGAATAAAACTGATTCCAAGATTTTGGGGAAAGGTACACTTTTTCTCAGATCGTAAAGTAAGCAGCCGTGGAACTGACCAGGTTTCCCAGTTACAGGATGGCTGGTAACCAAGATGTGTCACGACACACTGGAATCAGTCACTTGTCAATTTTTTGGGCATATAGAGTTATTGGTGTCATCATAAAGCTTACTCATTTGTCTTGGTTTTGATGGAAAAAAAAATACCCATCTATCTTGAACAAAAGTCGAGATATTTGCAATTGAAGGAAGTGGGGGTCACCTGGTGTAAGAGGAAAAATTAGCGAAAAAATGGCTGCCAAAGTTTGGTAAGCTTAAGTGTCCTTGAAAACAACAAATTTACTTTTTTTTTTGCCTCTGATCAATTTTTTCCAGTAAAATCCACACAGAAATGTGTTTTCAGACAGACATTAAAGGTAGTAAAGTAAACAAAAGAATTGATAAAAATTGCCTAATGGGTCGAAGAAATAAATGTTGGTTTCTTCGACAAGCACCTGATTTCACTACAGAGCCACACTTATGCTAATTATCCATTGGTTTCCTCTGTTTTCTGAACTTACTCGAGTCTGTGATTTTGTTGAAGCTCTTCCTGTACTGCTCGTTGCGGCCATTCATCAACTTCAGTGTGTTCTCCAGGGCTCTGATCTCCTTTTCCGCCTTCCTGATCCTAGCATCCAGGTCATCTCCCTCGCGCTGTGTACAGAATCAAAGGTCACGAGTCATGAGCAGGAGAGAAAAAGGAACAGCTTGACAGCAGTGAAAGACTGTGAAAGACTATTCATGTGTCTTCAAAAGAACAAAACAGCAGCAATATCTACAACAATGTTAACAAACAAATATCAATTACAATAGCAGACAAAAATTTATAATAAATGATAACCATATTAATAATGACAAAATGATGATGATAAAGAGAAGTTTAAGAATTATTAAAATGTAGGCGTACTACCGCTGATTCTGCTGCAATTATAACTAATGGAAATATAACACTAATAATATTAATGATAATAATAGGGATATTAATAATAATAATAATAATAATTATCATAATAATTACATTTGGAGTGAGAATGCTCTCAATATACTCCCACATACTTCTATTTATTATAACTCTTCTTCTCCGCAGCTTTGATTAGTTGGTAAACCAGATACTTTTCTTCCACCCTTCTTCTCTCTCTCCCTTTCTAGCACACACAAACACACACGCATGTATGTACACATACACACACACACATGTACACACATACACACCTGTAGCTCTTCCTTCTCCTGGGCAGCTTTGATGACGTAATAAGCCTGAGACTTTTCTTCCTCTCCCTCGGGAGGGGCCATGGACACCATTAGGATTTCAAACCTGTGAAGGAAACATGAGCTTTTAGAAAACGTTACATATAATGTACAGTTGTGCAAGGGTGACTCACAAGCTTCATCGAGTTTAAATTCTATGTCATTTATGTACAGTGCCTAGAATTGTGTTTGCCTTTTACAAAAATGATCTACAGTTTCATTTTCATTCATTAACATAAAACAAGTTGCACTTACGTAATACTAATAAAATAAACAAAACCAAAAATGAAATTACTTCTACTTTTAACAAGAAAACTCTTTTGACTAAGGTTCAACACAAAGGCCTGAATGCTGGTTCTGTATTTCTGCCCACACAAAACTGACTTTTAATGTTGACTGACAAAACTTTCTACCAGTGTCTGTGTTGTAGCAGTTAGGTGCTTCCCTAATGCACGTAGAAGACCTCCGGAGCTTGTAGCCAGTGTAAGGAGAATTTTTATCAAATACCTCAATCTTTCTGCTGGGACATTGTATCTGTCTCAGCCCAACTTGACCCAGATAAGCAGAGTTGAAGCCTGCTCCTAAATAATTTAAACGGTGTCAATGTTAAGTACCTTAGTTTTTAAAAAAGAATCTAAAGATCAAAACTTCATTACATCACACTGGTCTTGTTTTTCCCTACAGATATAGTTAGTTCCTTAGTGCCTCTCTAAAACCTCTGCACGACATGCAACAACATTTTAAACAACAAAAGCCCAGCCTACAGCAGTCTTACCTTTTCTTCAGTTTGTCAATTTTTGAGATTCTCTCATGCAGCTCTGCGCTGATTTGTTGACGCTCCTCGTCTGTGGCCTTGACCTGTGCTGTCAGCATCTCCTTGTGGATCTTGATTTCCTGGTGGCGCTCTTTCATCGCCTGTCAAAGGTCGCAAACGGGTGCAGTGATGAGAGGGAAATTATAAGCACGAGCCACAAGAGGATGAGAAAAGATTCTTTAATAAGATATGAACTGAATCATTAACATGTCACAAGAAGATACATACATTTTTTTTTTAAAGCCATAGGGAGAGGGGGTGGGGGGTGGGGGTGGTTGGGACACAGAAAGAAGCAGCATGTATCCTCTGATCAATATAGTTTCGATCTGAGTTTAAGTTTTTAAGCACTTTCAACATTATTAAGATCTTTTGAATGCCACCAACCTGTAAGAAATTGAAACAATATTACTTGCCAACACCCAATATACTCCAAAAATTAATCCTGCATTTGCAAACTCAAAATAAATGAGCAGTTCAGATTGCTGAAACAGGCCCACCAGGTCAATAGATGTTCAAGAAGCCTTCTGGTCCAGGTGAAGTAATAGGAAGTATTCTTGCTATAATTCCTCTATCTGGAACACATCATGTTTTGAAAACGACATAACTAATACTTCCGTTATTGCTGACACTAGACAGCCTTGAAAAGTTCACAAACTTAAACTATCAAATGACTTTTGGCCTCTCCCCTAAAATCCCCCCCCCCCCCCCATACAATAAGGTAATTTTGAGGTAGCTAATCAACCCAGTATTTCTTGTAGTACCCAGCAAACATTGCACTCATGAAAGAGGAATTTTGTACTCACCGTGTCAAGCTGTAGTTTCCTTTTTTCCAACGACATAACATCATCAGCCCGAGAGTTGAGAAGTTCCCGCAGTTTCTTGATCTCAAGCTTCAAGAGATTCTCATCCACCATAAGGTTCTGTGGGAGCATGTTTGACAAGTCAAATGAAGCAAATCCACACAACAACATTTGCACAGTGACACAAAACATCTTTTAACAATATGCAAAATGTCTATAAATATCTTTTGAAAAATGCAAAATATCTTCTAACGATTAGCAAGATCCTTTTAAGAGCATGCACAGTATCTTTAAACAATATGTGAAAGGTATGTGAGTTAGTGTGTGTATGTGTGTGTGTGTGTGTGTGTGTGTGTGTGTGTGTGTGTTTGTGTGTGCATGTTTGTGTGCATGTTTGCATAAATGTGTGAGCATATATACATATATTTGTAATATACACCCGAATAAAACCAAATTTAATGAAACCAGCAACAAGTCTTCACCTGCTTGCTCTTGATGATGCGTTTGAGCTCAGCCTCAGAGTTTTCGTTGTACAGGTTGAGCTCATCAATCTTCACTGTGAGATCAGCCTTCTCCTGGTGAGTTTCCTCCAACTCGCGGTTCTCTCTTCGCAAATCATCCTGAGGAAAACAAAAATAAAGGTTGTCAGTATTTGCCACTGTCAATCTTTAAGGAATATTCTTGCAGGACGCACTGGATGTTTACAATTTCATCCCTATCCAAGGATTGTGAAATCATATTAGCTCTATCATAATAACATGCGTAATATATATATTTGACCCACAATATTGGCAGGTCGATTAGGATGCAGAGCCTAGTTTAGTTTAAATGGCAAAAATAGATTATACTTGAGGTGAATATATATATAAGTCCTGAAAGAATAGTGTTTCAATATAAAGGCACAGACAAGAAAAGGAAAGGCAAAAACAGTCAGATGTAGAAATTGTGAAGTACATAGTGCCTAACATGAAGTGGGAACGCATACATTCAGTTATCATTATCATCATATTATTATTAAATATTAACAGTTATCATCATTTTTTTTCTTGTTGTTTTTATCATTATCATTATCATAAGTATTATTATTATTATAATTTTCATCATCATCATCATCATCATCATCATCATCATCATCATCATCATCATCATCATCATCATCAAAAGGTATTTGATTGGTATTCTTATTACATTTCATCATTAAATGCTATATTAAAAAATAATATTTGTATCATTACTACCATTATTAACATCATCCTTTTTCTTTTATCATCAATATCATTATTTCTATTATCACCAGTACCATTATTATTATTACCACTATCATTCTCATCCCCTTCATTCTGTAACTAAAATAATTGTGTAAGTGTAAAAAGTAAAAAACAAAAAGTAGATGGAGATGAGTTAACGTGAATTGAAGTTTTATGACATTATAAAAAAAATGTTCAGCTTTTCACCGTTTTGGGCTTCTTCAGGAATGAGATTTAAAAAACATCATTACCAACTGCAAGATGTAAGATATTAACATTTAATCTGATCATTGACCAAAACCCAAGCCGTGCTGTGAACCACTGTGAATGCAACCAATTTGTTTTTTATGTGCTCATATGACCTTATGAAGCTGCGAGTGCCGTAAAACTCTCACTAGACAAACTAAAAAACACAAATTTACTATAACCAAAGAGTCTACATAACAAGAGGGGCCACTCCTCTCTTTGAGCCAATTAAAAAAGTGTCCTCAAAATTCGGTGGCGCCCTCTTCGCAAATGCGCACCCTTTGCGAACAGAGTTACCCTACTTGAGTTTAAAAAATCAAAGTGAAACTAGCAAGTTTTTTTATAAATTTCGGAAGAACGCTTTTTTAAAATGGTTACGCTGACAAAAAACCTCTTCTGGAGGAAGGGTGATTGTTTTCTTCATTTAATTTGACTTTAAAATGAAAGGCGAGAGGTCATTAAAATAAAAAAAACCCTAAAACTCTGCACAGAACGAACCTGAACTGCTGATGAACAGCAGTCGATCTGCGCACGCAAGGAGGTGCTTTTCCTATTCTTCTTCTGGAAAAACGAAAGAGAGCTTCAAAACAGACTGCAGCACCATCTGAAGCAAAGAGTGGACTTCCGGCGGTCACTTTTTTGGCTGAGTGGCCCATCTTGTTATGTACTATCTTTGCTATAACTAATACGACATACCTGGAGCCGCTTGAGTTGCAGCGTGAGGAGCGTGTGCGTCTGGTTTTTGGCATCCAGGTCACCCTGTAGCTGATTGACTTTTGCCTCCAGCTGTGCCTTCTCCTCCGTGTTGTGCTCACCCTGCATGCGGATACAGCGACGCTCCAACTGCTGCAGCGTGAAGTCCTGGAGAGACAGAAGGTGAGAAGAAAAAGATTAAGTACTGGATGGACAGAAGGTGAGAGAAAAAGAATTGGTCCGGGATAGATAGAAGGTGAGAGAAAAAGATTTAACCCAGTATAGACAGAAGGTGAGAGGAAAAGATTTAGTTCTAGAAAGTAAAAGAAAAGATTAAATTTTATAGACTAGTTTTGTGCCAAGTGGTCAAAAACTCGGAAACAACTCAGATTGATTATGTACATATTGGTGATGGATAGAATATTCAAGAAGATTAAAGTGACATATTGGTGATGGATGCTAAAAATAGAACATTCAAGAAGATTAAAGCATATTTATTGTTTAAAAAATAAAGTAGAAAAAAAAAAACTAACTGATTGGCCAGTGATGGTAGCAAAAAGCTATGGCGCTACAGAAAGGCGCTTCCCCCTGGTGCAGCCCGGACTAACCCTGACAGGCAGGTTGTGGCAGTCAGTTTAGTACAAGATTTAAATTGTGCTGATTGGGCCTGAATTATTTATGATCACAAATAACAAACCTGACTGTAGAGAATCTCCTGTTGCTTGAGGGCATCAGTGTCCAGTTTAGTGATTTTACTGTTCAGATTCTTGATAGCATTGTGAGCACCCTGAATGAAAAAAAGAAGGTTAAATATAATACAAGAATGAATTCATATTGAACATATCCCTACGAGAGAGAGGGCACCTATGTGCTTGAAGATTTATCATCACCCTGATAGCCCATCTAACATCCACGAACATTCTTAGAAAAGACAAAAGACAAGGGAGGAGGGGAAAACAAGGTGTTAAAGAAATGTAGGAGTCTTATCTCTCTCTCTCTCTCTTTCTCTCTCTCTCTCTATCCATCATTCCAGCCACTCTTCCAGTCAAAATTGTGAAGACCTCCACTTTCAATAACATAGCATTAGAATGAAGGGCACATATATGCTCAAAGGCTACTGTATAAACAACTACAACAACATTTCATTCATCAACCCATCCATTCACTCAACCATCTCTCTCTCTCTCTCTCTCT